GTTGCTCCCGTCGTACTTAAAGACCACATCTCAGACATAATCTCGAGCGCCCGGAAACGTGTCGAAACCCGGAAACGTGTCGAAACCGTGTCGAGACAATGTCGAGAGTGTGTCCCCGGGCCCGTCGCATGAAAACCCTCGAGTTTCGGTACTTTCTTGGTGCTCGAAATTCCCTCTGGTGGTCAAGGCTAAAACAGGTTGGAACACCATAAACCTCGGTCCAGCTGTATCGGGATGGGGCCGGCCCGCGCCGAAACAGAACGGGTATCGAATCGGGCCGATGGGATCAGCCTGGACCCTTCAACTGCCAGGGTAAGGTCGGGCGTGTCGGACGAAAAACAAAAAGACCCCCAAATATGCAAAAATGGTCAAACATGGTCAACCAAATGCATCCCCAGACTATCTGTTTACTATTTTTAAGTGTTCCTCCTGTAGAGGGACAGGCCCGACTTAATGCCAGGGCTCTCGCCAGGCCCGGGGCGGGCGGCACGGCGCAGGGGCCCAGCACCAGCTGCGGCGCAGCCCAGGCAGCAGCCGACGATCTGCTCTTTCAGCGCGCGGCCCCAGGGTCATGCTGTTCCAACCTACTTTTAGCCTCGACCACCAGAACGAATTTCGAGCACCAAGAAAGTGCCGAAGCTTGAAGAAGGTTTTCACGTGGCGGGCACTGGGAGGCGATACTCGCTCGACACCGTCTCGATACTTTTCGGGGTGCTCGAAATCCTTTCTGGTATATGGTCCTGAAGTACGATGGGAGCAACATAGCCCCAGGGAGGTCCCGACCTCACTGGCACAGAAAAGGCATAGGCACCATTTCTCGCAGAGGTCCGCGCGGATCTCTTGGATCGGTGCCGATCCAAGAAACCCGCGCGGACCTCCAGGGAACCACGCTTGTGCAGCTCGGCGCGCCCCCCAACGCGTCGACCACTGCATCCCGTGATCCCAACCAGTCGAATTTTCGGCTTATGTTGCTCCCATCGTACTTGTGGACTACACCCCAGAAATAATTTCGAGCACCTAGAAACGTTTCGAAACAGTGTCGAACGAGTATCGCCTCCCAGTGCCCGACACGTGAAAACCCTCAAGTTTCGGTGCTGTCTTGGTGCTCGAAATTCTTTCTGGTGGTCAAGGCTGAAGTAAGTTGGAACAGGATAATTTTCGGCAAGAGCCCGACCGATGCGCGCTCGCGCCGTCTTGGTCCTGGCCAACATCGGCGCGCCCTCCGGCACGCCGACCATGGCAGCCCGTGATTCCAGCTGGTCGACATTTCGGCCAACGACCGCAAGCTGCGCGCGCCCGCGCCGTCTTCGTCCTGCTCCCGCCAGCGCCCCCCATATCCGTTTTAAGCGTAGACTGCGTTTCCGACTGCACAAGTGCGCTCGCCAGCGCTGGCGTGCACTAGAAAGCACTTCTGCAGTCCAAGACCCGGATAGCAATGCGCAATGCAGTCTGCGCAAAACATGCTTACGCGGGGCTTTGGCGAGGAGGCCAGATAGCAGTGCCTGGGTCGTCAACTGGCGCGTCCCTCAGCGCGCCGACCACGCCCTGGAAAGAATGAGCGCACGCACCGTCTCGGAGGCGACGATTGGGTTATGTGAGAGAGCGTGATCCACCGCCGCTTTACTGTGGAAAATTGCCATGCCAACCTTTTCCTCCGGAACCCAGGGGTCTCCCCCCCCCCCCCCCCCCCCTCCCCCCCCCCCCTCCCGAAAAACCCCTCCCCCCCCCCCCACTGCTGGACCCCCCCCCTCCCCCCTCCCCCCCGGCAAAACCCCCCCCCCCCAACCCACCCTCCCCCCCCTCTGGAAAACCGGGGGGGGTTCACTACCGGTTCGAACCCCCCCCCCTCCCCCCCCTCCCCCCTCCGGAAAAACCGGGGGGGGTCACTACCGGTTCGAACCCCCCCCCCCTCGAAAACCGGAGGGGGGGTCACTACCGGTTCGACCTCCCCCCCCCCCCACGCACCGCCAGCAAACGACTCCCGGTCCCTACCACCGCTCGCATCACATCCCCCACTGTTGTTCCCAGCACCACTGTCCTCACCACCACTGTCCCCACTGGTTCCACCACCGTCCCTATTGTCCCCACCAGTGCCCCCACCACTGTCGCACTGTCCCACTGTTCCCACCACTGTTCACGGTTCCACTCTCCCCACTGTCTCCACGGACCCAACCACTGCCTATCCCCACTGTCCCCACTGTCCCACTGACTCCTCCGCTGTCCCACTGAGCTGTCCCACTGTTCCCACCACTGTCCCCACTGTCCCCACCACTGTCCCCGCTGTACCTCTGTCCCATTGTCCCACCGCCGTCCTCGCCACCGCCTTTACCACTGTCCCCACCACCATTGTACCCTCCACTGTCCCACTGTTTCCACCTGATTCCCACTGTCCCCACACCACTGTCCCCACCACCACCGTCCCACCACTGTCCAGTGTCCCCCCTGTTCCCACCATTGTCCCCACCACTGTCCCCACCACTACCGTCCCCACCACTGTCCCACTGTCCCACTGTCCCCACCACTGTCCCGCTGTCCCCTCAACACTGTCCCCACCAACACCGTCCCCACCACTGTCCGC